CGCTGTGTCGTCCCTGGGTGCGACGAGTGTCCCTGGGGAAGGGGAGAGGGCGCTTAGGCGGGGCCGTCCTCACAGGGCGCTCTCAGGGCTGGCGGTGGCGGGAGGTATAAGGGCAGACCCCGACGCTGAAAAAAAAAAAACCCAATATCAGTGTTAGGGCCGGGCCCAGGGCACTCTGACAAAGGCCTGAAACACACGGCAGCTTTTGTTTAATCCTCCGACAAACGGTGCCCGCAGTAACAGCGTGAGCAAATCTGAGGGGCCGTGGATCGGCTCTGCGGATCCTTGAAGCTTCAGGGATCCAACCGCTCTGGTTGGTTTGACGGTTGGACTGGGAGATCTTCAAGGTCTTTTCCAACCTAGACAATTCCTCTGTGATTCTGTGGTCTGGAAATGCATCCGACAGAAAATGCTGCCGACGTCCTGGAAGTGGGAGCCGAGAAGCCTGGCGGTGCCTGTCTGAACTGGAGGAGGATGCCTGCCCGGTGACGGAGGGCTTGGTGCGGGGTGACATGCCCGTGCTGAGGGCGTCTGTCCCAGCGGAGCTGCTGGGGACCAGCACCCGCCTCGGTCCTGGTGCTGCTGAAGCAGCCGGGCTGACTTTGAGGTGTCCCTGGGGTGCTCCTGTGAGCCGGGCAGCGTGGGCCGGAGCTGGGCTTTGGGGTCCCCTCCAAGAGACGGTGCCTGCCAGAGGGCAGCTCTCTGGGGAGGCAGAGCTGAAAACCAGAGAATTTGTCTCTGTGCTGGCAGCAAATGTCAGGGCAGGCTGCAAAGTTCCCGAAGCCTTTTCACGCTCCTAATTCAGCTTTACCTCCTGTAAGGACGGTAAATCATTCGGTTGCAACAGGAGATGCAGTTTGTGTGCCAAGGCACTGAATTGCTCTAATAAATCATGGGCTGAAGCAATGGAAAGGAGCTGAAATGCCGCTCAATTGGCTGTTTCCGAAGGGTTTCAAAGACTCCTTGTAAACATAAGCCTTCATGGTCGGAGTGCGGTGGTGCCGTTTGTCCTTATTTAAGGCAGGATGGGCGCAGGGGGTGATGCAGTAATGGAGATTACCAGAAGGTGGTATTGCGGCTTCTGCTTTGGCCAAGGAGTGGAGATGGGAAAAGTGGAAAATCTCAGCCACCTCCCAGCTGGTGAAGCCTGGGAGCGGACCTCTCCCTCCCCTGTCCTGCTGTGACTCGTCCCACACTGGTCCCAGCCTTCTTAGGGTGGCAATTTCTTGCAGTAGCCCTTGTCCTTCCCCCTAATGAGTGGCAGGTTAATTATATCAGGCTGAACAATCATTCTGGTCATTCCTTTCACAAGCTGTGGGAGAGCCTGTGAAAACCCCTGCTGAGCCTGAGCTGCAGTGACCAGAGTCACCAAAGGGACCTCCAGTAGATCAGCTGGGGGCACCCCCGGGCAGGTTGCTGGAAGGTGCTCAAGGCCTTTCTGGGGTTTTCTGAATTTCTCTGCGGCCAGGGGTTGGTTTCTTTTCCACTATATAATGTCTTCTCCACACTTCCTTTGCTCTCACATGAGGAGGTGTTTTGCAGAGGGAGGTTGGGGGTGAAGTTGCAGTTGGGTTTGGGAGAGAAGCGGTTTCTGTCACTGGCCACAGGACCAACGTGTTCCAGAGCAGCCGCCTGTCACAGCCGGGTGGGGAGATGTAACTTGCTTTCCCCAGGAACATTTTACAGAATGAAAAAAAATCAATGCATTCAACCTTTCTTCTTGCAGGCTCTGAAGGAAAGGGAAATAAAACAGATTAGAGGAATCCATCCAATTTTCAGTTGTTCTTTATCAGCTCATATGAAACAATAAAGAAAGATGGACAATCCCAGGTAGTGGCACAAGAGGTGGTGGCACAGAAAGCTTCCCCAGCTCTGCCAGAGACCCTGTACTTGTTCCTGGAAAAGCTACTTAATCTGGCTCTCAGTTGCTCATCTCTAAGACGTGGCTAATCATGCTGCTCGCATTGTGCAGAAATATTCATTAGTGCCTCTGAGGTGCTCAGTTGCTATGGAGATGGGAATCCTGATAAATGCAGAGACTGACGGAGCCTCAGCGGAGATTCGGAGCTGCTGGGAGCTCCTCTGCGCCAAACTGTCCCGCACAGCACAGTGCTCTCCTGGCTGGCACAGCTTCAAAGGGCCAGTGACGAGCCCTCTGTGGCCGCAGCCAGCTGCGGAGCGAGGGCAAGGGTCCCCACACATGTCCCCAGTCCCAGCTGCTGGTGACCTGGGAAGGAGCAGCTAGTGCAGACATATCCAGAGTCCCTCTTATTCTGGGGTGAAAACACTAGATTTTCTTTCAGTGTTTTCTTTCTTACAACACTGAGAACTCTGTGGAATATGGTGAAGTCACAGCTATGCTAATATCCCTGTATAAGAAGAGACGTGTGACAGCCAAGATAAATTACATCCACTATAAACCACCACAAATTTAGAGTGACACCTGTTCCTCTCCTGGCTTCTCTGCTAATAAATGAATATTTCTCTGCTAAACTCTGACTTTTTTACCTCTGCATAACCAGCTCTGCAGCTCAGTGGAGGAGAGCCCAGCAGATGTGGATTCCCAAATCAGGGAAAGCTTCAGGAGAGACTCAGAGCCTCCCAGGCCACTTTTCCTGCTTCATTTACACTGAGGGAACTCGGTGTCTGGTGCTTCTCATCACAGGAGTCAGGATTCAGGAACAACAAAACAGAGACCTTATCAAGGGGTTGACCTTTTTTTTTTTTTTTCTGTTGGGAACCAATTTACGAAGGAGGAAAGAGTCATGAAGGCAGACAGACAGATGGACAGTTCTAGGTTTTACTTGCATAGTAGAAAGGTTCTTCCTCTGGTTTAGAATCACAGATTGTCCCTGAGGCTGTCCACGTACCTGGTTAATGGAGCCAGGGGTGGCACACCTGACAAAGCTTGGATTTTTCCTGGAAGAGGGAGACACGTAGCTATGATTCCTCACTACCTTTTTTTTTTGTGTCTTTTCCAGTTGGAAACTGGGCTTCCAGTTTGTTGCTTACCTATTACAAGCACTTGGTGACTGAGCACAGCAACACCGCATAGAAATACGAGACATTTGGCCATTTCTTCTATTCCCAGACTCTGTTAACTCAAATTTCCCTTCCAGAAGACACAGTGTTAAAACATTTTGAACTGTATATCCTGAAAAACAACCAGACAGCACATTAGAGAGGTCCAGGACTGTAATAAGGTGGGACAAGCAAGACACTCATTTGGCTTCTGTGGGCAAAGAGGGCACCAAATAGATACCAATGTGCTAAATTCACTCTGGTTTCTCTTGCCTTCAGTGCTGTTGCAGCCACAGCAGTTTTGGGATGAGGGAAGGAGAAGAGTCTGACCAGACTGAGCCCAGAAGAAGGTGAAGGGGATGGCCATGTCCCTCCTAGTCCATGGTGTAAGTGAGCACCAAGATGCAGGTCATGGTATTAGGGAGAGAGAAGTGATGGAGTGAAGTGGGATGATATTCAGCATGGCAAGGTTCAAGGTTATGCACTTGGAAGCTAAAACTAGCAGTTTCCTCTACAACCTGGAAAAAATCTCAGTCGTGCTGGTGAATCATAAGAAGGCTATGAGCAGGAGCTGGGCGCTGTGATGCTGGAGATAATTGAAATCCTGGAATGCAACAAGAATGTGCATTTCCCGTCAAGAAGAGGAGTGTCTAGTTTGTAACACAAGGCATTGGGAGACTCACCTGGAGCCCCCTGTGCTTGTGTTCAGCGTGGGATCTGAGCCAGGGAGATGGGCAGAGGAGGTAATCAGGCTGACAAGGAAAATCTTATGAGACCTTATTTTACAGAAGAAGACCAAAGGGCTGCTTGTTTGGACTAGCAAAGAGAGAGGCCTGAGAGTAGGCAGTAAATATTAGAAGGATGATAAAGGATGAAGAAAAAAGGATGAAGTTGGCAGCATAACAAATGGATACAAAATGCTGTGCATGGGGTAAATCTGCCTTGAAACTTGGAGAGAAGAGCCTGTCTGCCTCTGTCCCTCTGGGAGAATTTGCAGGTGCCAGTAAGCTTCTCTAAGGATTAGGCTGATGGAAAGTAGGTGCCTCCAACCAAAGCCCAGGCTTAGGGCACTGCCTGAACCAGAAGCCAGAAAGACTCGGGAATTTAGCCTGTGCAGAAGGAGAGATGTCTCTGGGGCTTGGCAAGGGGAGATGGGAGTGTTATGATGAAAAGCAGCTGCAGAGGACAGGGAATCAGCACAAGCTCTGATAAAGTGGCCCAGGGACAGTGCTGGGGTCAGACTTTGCAGAGCTGCCTGCTTCCTCCCTGCTTCAAAGGCACCAGACTTTGCACATCCTTCGTAAAGCAACCAGTCTGCACCAGCGACAAAACCACCCAGCACCACTTTCCCAAAGGGCTGCGCGCTGCGGCCAACTGCAAAGATCCTGGAGAGCAGTGGGATAAAGATGAAAACTTTCTCTGGGCTGGGTGCTTTGTGGCCGATTTCAGCCAAGAGCTGTCGCTGTCACAGCAGAAACTCTCCCCTCTTGTAACGGAGGAGACATCCCGTATCTTCGGAGCCACACTGAGCTCTTTATTAGCCCTCCAGCACCGATGGGCACATGCTGGGGATCGGCCTCCCCCACCCCCCAGATCCCCAGCCTGCCAGCTTGTGCATTTTTGTGTGTTTTCTCACTAGGTTGGCCCATTGCCTTTAAAAGGCTAAATGCTCCGGACTAAATTTGGTCATGCAGCTCTGCATGGTTCCCTGGAATGTCCTCGGGTTTCAGGCTCCTCTGATAGCACCATTCCCCGCCTCCCGCTGGGCTCCATTGGCTTCCCAGCACCCGAATCGCAGCTGGATCCTGTTATTGGCCAACTCTTGGACCGAGGGGTGTCCCCTCTTTACAACTACTATATCCCGGGCTGCAGCGATTGAGAGCTGCTGAGATTTAACACTTCAGCACCTGCTGCCATTGGGGGAAGCAGTGTTGGAGCTTCGGCTTCTTGGTTTTTTTCTCCTTCCTTGGGTACCACACACAACCGCAACCGTGTCTCGCCAGCGAGCAAAGATGTCCAAAGTGGCCAAATATCGGCGACAAGTTAGTGAAGATCCGGATATTGACAGTTTGTTGTCTACTCTGTCTCCAGAGGAGATGGAAGAGCTGGAGAAGGAGCTGGATGTGGTGGATCCAGATGGAAACATCCCTCTGGAGCTCAGTCAGAAAAACCAAACAGAAAATTCCCCACCTGGCCCGCAAAACTGCGACACAATGCTCAATCACTGCGAAAAGGAGACCAGGAAACGTATTCAGAGGGAACACTCGATAGACGTAAGTCACAACTCCCCACGCTTGAGCTGTTTCTGTGAGAAGTGCAGGGGCGATACCTGTGAACTCTGCCAGGCTGCTTTAGGGGATGAGATGGAAAACGCAAACCCCGAGAAAGGTGTGCTGTGCTTGCTGAGGAGGAGTAGCTGTCGTGTAGAGACCAGAGGAGTGAGGCAGGGAGCTGGTCCAGGCACTCTGGGTGGGAACAGGGTATTTCATGAAATCCCGGTGCTACTCGCAAAGCCAAACCCTCTGCTGGTGCCAGGGATTTTGTCTCTGCCTCTGCTCTAACATCCTTTGGCAGGGCTGGGAGCCGCGATGATACTCCCAGAAGGTGGCTGGAGGGGCCAGTGCGGTGACAGCGATCCTGCAGGCTGTGTTTCTTTTTCTTCCCGTTTTTTTCTTTTCCTTTGGAGATCTCTGGACTCTTAGTCCTTTCAGTTCTTCTTGTGCAAAAGTTTAAATAGTCTCTAGTCCTTGTGGAATAAAAAGTTTGCTGCTTGGTGGAAATCACTCTGAGAAGCAGGTTTTGCCCCAGGCCGTTTGCTTCATGTTTATTGTTCAGTTAAAATTAATTCATTTATTTTGATTTGGGTACATTTATTACCTCCTCTGCACCTGGCAAATCCTTTAATAGCTCACTTTGAGCTAGAAAGCTTCATGCCAGTCCCTCTCCTCTTGTGCCTTGCCTTAGTGGGAACCAATCCCACTTCTCTGTAACATTTATTAACCTCTGCACTAAGAATATTTGGTATGTGTTCTGTGCGTGGGAAGCTGGGAAGCGTTTGGTTTCCCTAGTTTTTCACGGCAGGCTGAGCCAGAAAGTGAAGAAGGAGACTCTTCAGCTATTTATCTGTGTAGTCACAGGGAGATTCATATCCCAGGCTGGATTTGCATCTGCTGTGACGGGACAGGGCTGAGGAATATCAGCAGTGTAAGCAGAGCAGAGGCTTATGTGGATACCCCTCAACAGACTGCTCTGGCTCCAATTCCTTATCTATTCCAGGTCACCCAGCAGTAGCCTGGATCTTCCAGCTGAATAATCAAGCTCTAACTAGCCCCTGAGCACTTGGAAATGGTTCTTTATGGATGTGTTTATTATAGGAGGATCCTCTCCTGACCAGGGCCTGGGAGAAGACAGGTAGAAAAAGATGAAAATTGCAGCTGTAGGGGAAATAAATAAAGATTTATTTTGGAGACCTGAACAAGGGGTTAAATAGTTCCCCCCAACCCTCTCTAAGCTCTGGCTTGTGCAGCCTGGGAGCTTTCCTCTGTCTGCGAGGACAAGGAACTCGCAGCCCTCACCTTCTATATGTAGCGTTTGGCGTGGGCTGGGGGACAGAAAGTACCGTGCCCCTTGCCACGAGAGCACTGGGTTTATTTTCCCATCGGTGGGCCGGTGGAAAATTTCCCTGTGTCAGGGAACTGCAGGACAAACCTGCTTGCAAAGGGAAATGCTGTTATGTGGGACCAGTTATCCCAGTGATGCTGCACTGGTCTGCAGGTGATCCCAGCTTGCAGCCAGCCCTGACAGTGAAAAAGTTGCTTTTTCAGGGAGGGGGGAGTCTTGCATTTGAACTCACGATTTTGTTTTTAACCATGGGAAGATGAGGAGTTGACTGGAGATTGGGACAGGGAAGTGTCCATGGTCAGGAGGAAGGGAGGAAATTTGTGGTTTTTGGAAAAACGTTGCTGGGAAATCGTCTGGCTAAACACTTTGTTATTTGGAAGATGCCTGAGAGTGTGTGTCCGTGTGCTGCGGGAGGGCAGTCAGGATGGTGGCAAGGGATGGCACAGGGAGGAGAGGCGCCCCAGGAGAGGGTGTACAGTTCAGGGGCTGGCGGGGAGGGCATCGGTGGAGGTCCTGAGAAAAGCTCTCGTTGTGCTCTCCTTTGAGCTTCGGTAGCTTCGGGCTGTGGAAGACAAAACAAGTTGGCTGCCAGTCAAATTTGTCAGTGAAACTGGCCCAGTTAGATTGCATTGCAGTAACTGGATATGGAAGAACAGACTTTCTTCTTCTATTTCAATCCCTGGAGGCCAAGAAAAAAATATCCTCCATCCCTTCCTCCTTGGCATTGTTAGGACCTGGGATTAGCACCTAGAAAATGCCAGCTCACAGCGCAGGCAGGTCAGCCCATGCCAGTGGTGGAGCTGGGCCTTTGCTCCACCTTGGGGAAGAGGATGAGATGAAGGGGATGGGATGAGATTTAGTCTGGAGAAGAGGAGGCTGAGGGAAGACCATATGGCCCTCTGCAACTCCCTGCCAGGAGGGGGCAGAGAGGGGGGATGAGTCTCTGGAGCCAAGGCCCCAGCGCCAGGCCCCGAGGGAATGGCCTCAAGCTGCCCAGGGCAGGGTCAGGCTGGCTCTGAGGAAGGATTTCTGTGCAGAAGGGGCTGTTGGGCGTTGGAATGGGCTGCCCAGGGCAGGGGGGAGTCCCCGGGATCCCTGGAGGGGTTGAAGAGTCGGGCTGAGCCAGCGCTGAGGGATCTGGGGGAGTTGGGAAGGGTCAGGGGGAAGGTCATGGTTGGGCTGGAGGAGCTGCAAGGGCTTTTCCAACCGTGATGATTCTGGAATTCTGTGGGATGGGATGGGATGGGATGGGATGGGATGGGATGGGATACGATGAAACAGGACCAGATGGCATCATCAGACCACAGAAGCAATCACAGAAACCAGCCCACGAAGCCGATGGTTCCCTCATTCATCCGAGGAAGCCGCAGGGTTGTGTTTTGCTGCAGGATGGAGTGAGAACAGGGAGCCATCCGGAGCATCCCAGGCGGCTCCTGAGCTCTCACCCAGCTGCTCCGAGCACTGAGGACTCTGATGACAAATCCCTCTCTCGTATCAGTGGATTTCACGTTGTAGCAGGCAGCGAAGCACTTGTGCCTGCCAACACAGGCATCGTGGCTGCACACCCACGGGGAACAGCATTCCCACAGCCCAGTGCAGGCAGCACCTTGTCGGTCCCTGCCCCTCTCCCGTGACAGCTCCCAGCATTGTGCATCACAAACCCACACACAGTGCCTGATTAAATGTGTCGAGGAAAACCTCTGCGAGCAAGAAGCAGACGTGAGCACAGGAGGGAAGCGTGGGCACAAGGGCAGGGAAGGAATAGGAGGTCCTTCCAGTGGGACTGGCCCTCTGAACATCTGGAAGATGTTGTCCCGTGTCTGTGATGTCTCTTCAGCAGGGAGGGGCAGAAGGTGAGATTCTTGACCTTGAACTACAGAGAGTTTATAGGCCCATAGCTGCCTTGCACAAGGCACTGAAGATAGAAAATATTAGATAGTTCCTAACCCAGCTGCGCAGTGGCACCTTGGGCTGTATCGTTATTGCTAAAACTCATTTTGCAAAGCTGGGAGGTGGCTGGGTCGCAGCCCCCCGTGGTACAACGGCCGCTCCAGCCCCCCGCAGCCTGCCCGGGTTGCTGCGCTCCTGTCTCCCCATTATTTTTCCTCCTCCCTCCTGTTCTTTGCTCCCTCCTTTGCCCCCACTTTGTGCAGTGTCTGGTGGGATGTTGCCTGTTAGCTGGGATGTGCGGGAGTTGCTCCAAAGTGCAAAATAAGGTATTTTAAAGTGAAAGATTCAGTTTCTGCCCATCTGACAGTTCTTTCAGTCATTGCTTTGGTCTTGGACTGGCTCCAGGCACCCCCATCCCTTTCTAAATATTGGAAGGAGTGGGTATATTTAGAAATATTGTAACTACATAATAACACATCTTCTTAGTGATGAAAAGGGCAAACTTGGGTAGCTAGGAAGCAGTTTATAAACAGCCCAAAATAGATGTGAGCTTTGCCCTAATTTCTCCGCACTGGGGAGCCAAATTCACATCTTGGTGATGCATTAATTAATTAATCTTCATTTTTATATTGCTAGCAAGTACCCCAAGTTCAACAGTGGGGCTTGGGACAGTGCCTCTCCCCGGATGCACTCAACAGACTTTCTTGAAGGTCCACGTGCCACAGGAGCCAAAGTTAAGCTAATACTCACAAGTAGGTAAATGAAGAGGATTTCTAGAGCTCCTGACTCTTTACTGTAGCAAAGACATAATGAGAGAGAAATTCAGGTTAGAAACGCGCTGTAAATTTGAAGCAGTGGCATTAATTGAAGGATTAACCTGGGGGCACAGCTGACTTGCTGTCACTTGTAATTTTTCTATCATGCCTGGGATTTCTCTTCAAAAGAGGAAAAGCTGTCTGTGCCAGGAGATGGGGGCTCAGAGCTGGTGTCTCTGCGGGATGGGTTGTTCTGAGCTGTATGAGGAGATGGGGTTTGTGAGAGCGACTCTGGTTTTGTCCAGTTCTCCCTCTGCTGTTGGTGACATTGTTAAAAAGCATGTATCCATACATATAGCACTATCATATACACCCTGGAGATCTCCCCATCTTTCACACTGGCAGTCGGTCACTCCTAAACCCCCTTGGGGGTACCTTTGCTGGGATGGACCTGGCTGAGAAGAGCTACCCCGTGGGAAGGGCCACCACTCCTTATGAACCATGCGGGCCCTGGGACCAGGTGGGTTGCTGGCCGAGTGCTCCTTAGAGGCTGCCGTACCCGTAGCAGGTGGTTTTACTTTTCAAAGCATGCCACAAAATCCACCTGCTGTTGGGTTTTGGCTCTTCTTGGATTCCCACACGGCCTCACCACAGGGCCCAGGTGGCACCCAAAACACTGAGTGCCTGGTGGCAGAGCCTCCTTCCCTCAACTTCACCTGCAAGGACAGGACGCCTGCATGTCCCAGTGCCGTCAGAGTCCCCAGTCCTGCTTCCCATCCGGGCTGCACTGCCGCTTCAAGCTGGGAAAATGTGGGGAAATTGCATGTGGGGACATCATCCTACTGATGGAGGGGATTCATTCCAGGGCCACAAACCCACTTCTTTTGTCAAGATGCTTGAACACATGGTGGATTTCTCTTTCCGTGTAAGCCTAGGGACCAGCTTCTTGGAGGAGAAGGCTCTGAATAGGGGACTTTGGATGCCAGGGCAGATGTGCACGGACGAGA